AACCTAACCTAACCTAACCTAACCTAACCAATCAGAATACATTTCTTACACAGGAACAGGAAACAGAGAGGTGGGACTAAACATTGTATAAAAAGCCAAGCAAGCCCTTCCTTCAGCCCTTCTCTTCTTCTCCACCAACATTGAAGCATGTGATCACCTTTTCTGTTCAGGATTCAAGCCATGTGGTCCTGTCCATCATTAAACCATCTTTCCAAGCAGCCTCCATGTCTCCGGTGTCTTTTTCCCCACTAGGAGCCAAACCCAGAAGGACATTTCTTTCATCAGCCCCCAGAGTGGAACTAGAACTCACAGTCTCCCACTTTCTAGCCTGGCGCCTTAACCATCAGACTTAACTGCCTGGCAATTGTTTTTGCATTATTTTCCCTTTTGTTTTTCTTCCCATTCAATCAGGCCTGATTCTTAGAGGCTGCACTTTAGAGTCCTTGCACTTTTCTTGGCAAAGTCGCAGTGGTTTGACATTATTGCCTTCCTAGGGCTGAGAGAGAGGGCCTGAACCAAAGTCACCCAGCTGGCTTTCACACCTAATACAAGACTAGAACTCCCAGTCTCCTAGCGGTTGGCCCAAAGTCACCCAGCCTGCTTTCCCGCCTGTCAGGACTAGAACTATCAGTCTCCTGGTGATTGAACCAAAGTCACCCTGCCTGCTTTCATGTCCAGGCTGGACTAGAATTCCCCGTCCCCCGGTTTCTGGCCTCTGATACCTTAACTCCTGCACCCAGCTGACTATTCTGTGCATGCACCTGCATCCGTCCAAACTACAACTGGCTCTCCGGCTGTAACAGGAAGCTACCTTTCCCGTCTACAGTGGGACTAGAACTCCCAGTATCCTAGAGATTGGACCGTGTCCAGGCTGGACCATAAATTCCCGGGCTCCTAGTGATTGGCCCAAAGTCACCCAGCTGGCTTTCACGGCTAAGGCAGGACTAGAACTCCCAGGATTCCGGTTTCTAGCCTCTAATACCTTAACTCCCGCACCCAGCTGGCCATTCCTTCCATGGGCCCGCAGCCATCCAAGCTACAACTGGCTCTCTAGCTGTAACAGGATGCAAAGAAGCCACGGTTTCTACGTCCACCGCAACCCCCACGTCCCGCCTTTCTCACCCCGTTGGGCAGGTTCTTCACAATCAGCCGCGACATGCTGGCGTCGGAGGCGGCCGCTTCAGGGAATAGCCGAGCTCGCTAAACACGCAGCCGCCTGGGCGCCGCCATCTTGTCCGGGCCGAGAGATCACGTGATCAAGTACCCCTCTGCGCCTGCGCGTTCGGCGCAACGCCTCTCGGCGTAGCTGTTCAAGGCGTCCGGGTGCTTCAATCTCCAAAGAGGAAGAGAGAAAGAGCGATAAGAAGCTTTGCATAGACACTTCCGGTTCCTAATGCGTGGATTGAAAAAAGTTTTGAGGGGGCTTCTCTCTCTCTCTCTCTCTCTCTCTCTCTCTCTCTCTCTCTCTCTCTCTCTCT